GAGGATCCTTTGAGGGTTTCTCCATGGCGTGTCCTGGAAACATAGAAACACATGATGGAGAGATATGAGAGGGTTAGATGACTTCACTCAACATTCCATCTGGATCAGGAGGTCTGAGGGAGCAGATGTTCTCTGTGGAGATCCCAACCAGCTGGGACTCCTCCCCTCTTCAGTCAAAGGGCCCTTGGTCCTCCTCCCAGATCACTTCTACATTTACACAGCCCTATCAGAAGAGGCGGAGCCAATGGGGACTGGGAGGAGCATGCTCTTCACCCAACCACAAGCCTAGGCACTGGGCCATGTGATGTCTGATGAACAAGAGGACCAAAGTTCAGACTTGTAGACCCTTCACCACAGAACAAGTGACCCCAGGCCTAGGCTTCTGGTGATGAGCAGCACTGGAGGGAGCTTGGAGAAGTATGTTCTCCTGGAAAGAGAAGTGTTTCAGTCTTTGTTACTTTTCATCCCAACAAGACTGATAATAGAGTTTTATGTTTAGCTAGAAGTCTGCTGGAAGAAGAGGAACCGACCTAAGAAAGGCCCAATCTGTGTCCTCATATCTGTGCTACTGGAACTAGGAGTGACATCCAACCCAATACTGCCAGCTGAGCCCCAGGACGGGTATCAGTACAGGGAGGTGACCAATACCAACCTACTATTGGCTGATATCACTCAGATCCCGCCCTACTCTGGACCAATCAGTGTGCAGGAACAGAGCAGAGATAATAGAAGAATATATTATGGGTCACCTGTGCTGATCTCTGTAGGAGTGTCCTCCTCTTTGAGTGTCCTCATCATTCCATCCTCCTCCGTATGTTGCTGATCATCCCTCACATACGTCTCTTCTACGTCACCCTCAGCTTTCACCTTCATCAGATCTTCACCCTAAACCAACAGAACGGCAGAAAGTCTCATCTTGTAGAGTCCACACATCATCTCCACATGTCAGAGTCTTCAATCACTCAACTCCACCTACCTGATCATGGTGGGGGACGGCGAGATCTTCCTGTGTGGAATCCCGGGAATACAGAGGACGGGGACATCTCTCTGGTGGGTTCCTCTTACTGGATCCATCTATAGGAAACACACACACTGACTGAATACATTGTTTCTATGTGTGTATCAGATGATGGGGGATCTAGGTGGACCCTCCGTACTGCTCTCTCCTCTTACCCGGTGATGTGAGGGGCGGTTGATCCTCCATCATGACGTCCTTGTAGAGATCCCGGTGTCCTTCAAAACTTTCCCACTTCTTCATTGAGACATAGACGGAGACATCCTGACACCTTATAGGAACCTGACACACACAATGATACCGTCACCCTCCAGACACATCCCTTGTCTGTTCCTGGATCATGTCCCAGAATTCCCGGCACCGCTCACCTCTCCTGTCAGCAGCTCCGTCATCTTCTTGGTGACTTCTAGAATCTTCTCCATGTTGGGTCTCTCGGCTTTTAGGGAGTCATATGGGGGTACAGTGATGGTCACATGATCACCTGACTTCAGAAGAGGAAAACTCTGGATGGAGAAACCAATAGGAATAGCATGTTATAATCCCAGAATCCTTCTCACCTCTCCGGTCTGGTCTGTGTTTTATGAATAGAGATAAGAGTGATGTCATGTGACCTCCCAGAATGCTCCTCACCTCTCCGGTCAGCAGGTAGATGATCTCCAGGGTGAGGTTGAATATCCTCTCAGTCATGTGACTCCGCTCCTCCTCCATCCTCGTTGATGTAGACATGAGATCTTTGTAGGTTTCTCTGTAGACGGATAGTGGAGAATTATTTGGACACAATGATACCGTCACCCTCCAGACACATCCCTTGTCTGTTCCTGGATCATGTCCCAGAATTCCCGGCACCGCTCACCTCTCCTGTCAGCAGCTCCGTCATCTTCTTGGTGACTTCTAGAATCTTCTCCATGTTGGGTCTCTCGGCTTTTAGGGAGTCATATGGGGGTACAGTGATGGTCACATGATCACCTGACTTCAGAAGAGGAAAACTCTGGATGGAGAAACCAATAGGAATAGCATGTTATAATCCCAGAATCCTTCTCACCTCTCCGGTCTGGTCTGTGTTTTATGAATAGAGATAAGAGTGATGTCATGTGACCTCCCAGAATGCTCCTCACCTCTCCGGTCAGCAGGTAGATGATCTCCAGGGTGAGGTTGAATATCCTCTCAGTCATGTGACTCCGCTCCTCCTCCATCCTCGTTGATGTAGACATGAGATCTTTGTAGGTTTCTCTGTAGACGGATAGTGGAGAATTATTTGGACTGTACTGGGTGACACCATTGGAGTCGGGCACTCGGTCATGGACTGAGAGCCTGACAGTTACACGAGAGAGGAGGGGACCCAGTGACATACCTTATCCCGCCGAATTAACATTCCTTTCTCTTTTTGCCGGCATCCATCACCAAGATGGCTGCTGGCAGGTAGGCATGCGCAATGACATCCCAGGGTGTCTCCTGGTGGCCACTCCAGGTAAAGCCACGGCTCGGGACGCCTCTGTTGCACCCTACAAGCATGTTATATTTCTTCCTCCCGGCCTGATCAGACATGACACTTCCTGTTTTGTCTCTGATCTATTTTTCTTAGCTTTAGATCTGCAGACAAGGAACAATGAATAAGATTGCCTCATGGCTACCGTGTTCCTTTAGGTAATGCCCAATAACAACACAATTTAGCCACACCCATTTTAAATAAGATGTTCCTATAGTTGCTTCTCTTGCTGATTTTCTAATGTTGGTAGGTATACTAGTCAGAAGCTGCAGGCTTCCCAATGTATGTCCCCAAGCCCAGAGTTGGTCTGAGATCCTCCATAGTATTAGTGTGTCTGGTGATGGTGAGTGGACAGGGAGAGATCCTTCATAGGGACAGAACAGTGGAGGGATTTATAGGGAAGATTCCGGTTTCAGATGGATTCCCGGGATTCACATTTAGGGAGAACTGAGATTTGTTTTGATAAATTTTGAGTGACTTCAATTTGTCACAGACAATAATGTACTGCTTAGGCTTTTGTTGTTGGTCAGCATTGATGTGCCAGGGCTTGGCGTCAACACAGTTCACAAGAGTTTGTCCAAGCCCGTCAATGACACACCCACCTCCTGAACCAATCAGTTGGGACCGGGGAATTCCCCACCCCTTTGTGGAGTGTAGCTGTGTCTCTGTTCTCCATGAACACAAATTCCAGGAATCCACCTCGAACCCAAACAAAAAAAAATTCCAGGTATCCACCTCAAACTCTAAAGCAAATCCCAGGAATCCACTTCGAACCCAACCACAAATCCTGGAAATCCACCTCGAACCCAAACAAAAATTTCAGGAATCCACCTCGAGCCCAAACAATGATCTCAGGAATCCATCTCAATCCCAAAGATTCTGGTAATCCCCCTCGAACCCAAACACAAATTTCAGAAATCTACCTCAAACCCAAACACAAATCCCAGGAATCCACCTCAAACCCAAACACAAATACCGGGTATCCACCTCAAACTCTAAAGCAAATCCCAGGAATCCACCTCGAACCCAACCACAAATCCCGGAAATCCACCTGGAACCCAAACAAAAATTTAAGGAATCCACCTCGAAGCCAAATACAAATCACGGAAATCCACCTCGAACCCGAAGTTCCCAGGAATCCACCTCAAACCCAAACACAAATTTCAGGAATCCACCTCAAACCCAAACACAAATCCTGGCAATCCAAATAAAACCCAAACACAAATCCCGGGAATCCATCTCAAAACCAAACACAAATCCTCGGAATCCACCTTGAACCCGAAGATCCCAGGAATCCACCTCAAACCCAAATACAAATCACGGAAATCCAACCCGAACCCGAAGATCCCAGGAATCCACTTGGAACCCAAACAATGATCTCAGGAATCCATCTCAAACCCAAAGTTCCCAGGAATCCACCTGGAACCCAAACAATGATCTCAGGAATCCATCTCAAACCCAAAGATTCTGGTAATCCCCCTCGAACCCAAACACAAATCCTGGGAATCCACATCAAACCCAAACACAAATCCCGGAAATCCACCTTGAAGCCAAACACAAATCCTCGGAATACACCTCGAACCCAAAGATCCTGGGAATCCACCTCAAACCCAAACAATGATCTCGGGAATCCATCTCAAACCCAAAGATCCTGGGAATCCACCTCAAACCCAAACACAAATTTCAGGAATCCACCTCGAACCCAAACACAAATCCAAGGAATCCACCTCAAAACCAAATACAAATCCCAGGAATCCACCTCGAACCCAAACACAAATCCTCGGAATCCACCTCGAACCCGAAGATCCCAGGAATCCACCTCGAACCCAAATACAAATCACGGAAATCCAACCCGAACCCGAAGTTCCCAGGAATCCACCTGGAACCCAAACAATGATCTCAGGAATCCATCTCAAACCCAAAGATTCTGGTAATCCCCCTAAAACCCAAACACAAATCCTGGGAATCCACATCAAACCCAAACACAAATCCCGGAAATCCACCTTGAAGCCAAACACAAATCCTCGGAATACACCTCGAACCCAAAGATCCTGGGAATCCACCTCAAACCCAAACAATGATCTCGGGAATCCATCTCAAACCCAAAGATCCTGGGAATCCACCTCAAACCCAAACACAAATTTCAGGAATCCACCTCAAACCCAAACACAAATCCAAGGAATCCACCTCAAAACCAAATACAAATCCCAGGAATCCACCTCGAACCCAAACACAAATCCTCGGAATCCACCTTGAACCCAAACAAAGATCCTGGTAATCCACCTCAAACCCAAAGATCCCGGGAATCCACCTCAAACCCAAATACAAATTTCAGGAATCCACTTTTCAACCCAAATACAAATTTCAGGAATCCACCTCAAACCCAAACACAAATCCCAGGAATCCACCTCGAACCCAAATACAAATCCCAGGAATCCACCTCGAACCCAAACACAAATCCCAGGAATCCACCTCGAACCTGAAGATCCCAGGAATCCACCTCGAACCCAAACAATGATCCCGGGAATCCATCTGAAACCCAAAGATCCTGGTAATCCACCTCGAACCCAAACACAAATCCTTGGAATCCACCTCGAACCCAAAGATCCCGGTAATCCACCTCAAACTTGAATCTCATCCTTATAATCCCCTCACTGATCTGTCCCTATGAAGGAGCTCTCGCTGTCCGATCTCTATCACCAGCTCCAACACAATGAATACAACCAATATTTAAATACTGGAAACAGGTCAAATTTTAGAAGAACCTGAATCTCATCCCTAATAAAAGAAACTGCTAAGGTGACGGATCTCCGAAAAGGAAGAAAAAGAAGCGGTCCCGTACTCGGGTAAAAGTTCTGACCATGAAGGGGTTAATATATACATATCCACACTATATATGTGTGTAGCATCAGCTGCTGGACATAAAAGACATCACAGTGACTATAGAGGACGAGGACGGACATGACGGGGGTGGTTACTGGGTGTATATATGAAATAATATCTTATTACCTCCTCTGCTGCCAGTTCCAGCAATATCTCCTCTCTACTTCCTCCCAACTTCACCTCTCACCTGGATCTTCCTATTTATATGTGACATCACTTCCTGCCTGTACTCTACATCACTTCCTGTGATATCACCACCTTGTGGAGCTCAGAGGAACTGCAGCCCCGAGCAAACATTCTATATTTGGTGTATTATGTGTTTTTGCACTATAGATCCTTATAGACGGGGTCCCCCCCCACCCCCCAAAGGGAGATATTAATATATTACTGTTCGGGATGAGTGGAGGGATCTTGGCACGGCATTGGTTTTGCAGTTACACTGATTACAGGTTTAGACACAATCAGCCTCTAATGTTTCACTATGTGGTGCTGCTTAGGAGAAATTTGCTTTCAGAAGTCTACCTGCCTTGAGGGAAACCTTCCCATGTGGCTTTTCATGTGATTCTCCCATCCCATCTAAAGGTGCCTCAGCTATTGGTGGAATGGGTCATGTGGATCACCCGCTCATCAGATGTACCCAGCAACAGGCAGTCCAACTCCCACAGCAGAGGAGCCAGGCCTCCTCCTCATAGCAGGGCCCACTGGTACAGATGGTCCAGGGATTCTCCCTTCTACTTCAGTTATGCGGACCTCTGACACATGGATGCATGGAACCCAGGCAGAGAGGAAAGGGTGCAAATGTGACCTAATGCGATTGTGGAGGATTAGCCAGTTATGGGAGGACTTCCCTCAAGGAGAGGATACAGGAGACCATAGACCCTGGTGTGGAAGCAAGATAGCCAGAGTCCAGAGTGCAGGGCCACTATGTGGATGTGGAATTTTAAGGACCTGCTTAGAGCCCTATGATGGTGGCAGCAGCTCTAGTAATGGCTGACCACATTGACCTGACTTCTGGTTCTCGGAAACGTGAAGAGGTGGACCTGAGTGCAGGACCACTATGTGGATGTGGAATTTTAAGGACCTGCTTAGAGGCCTATGATGGTGGCAGCAGTTCTAGTAATGGCTGACCACATTGACCTGACTTCTGGCTCTGGGGAAAGTGAGGAGGTGAACCTGAGTGCAGGGCCACTATGTGGATGTGGAATTTTAAGGACCTGCTTAGAGCCCTATGATGGTGGCAGCAGCTCTAGTAATGGCTGACCACATTGACCTGACTTCTAGTTCTGGGGAAAGTAAAGAGGTGAACCTGAGGGCTGCAACTCTAGTTTCTGAGCAGTGAAGATTGCAAGGCTTCAGATGTGGTGCAGCAGGAGAGACAGCAGCAGCAACAGGGGTCCAAG